TTTGCCTGGGGCGTTTTGGGAAGAAGTTTTATTCTAGGCCTATTCGAATCTTTTTTGTCTGGGCGACCTGAGGCTAGCTTGGAAGGCTAACCACTATTGTTGTATTTTTACTGTTTTTTGGGTTTTTGTAGTGTACCTAGGATATTGCTATTCTTTTTAATTTCTGCTTGGATTTGCCTGAAAATTTGCAAAAATGCTCTTTGGGAGCCTAGGAATGAAATTCTAATGTCAAAATCTGAAGTATCACTCGCCAAAATTCAAATTTAAGCTTAAATAAGTTTCCGCATATAACCACGTGTTGCACGGTTCTATTGCAAAGTTAAGAGAGTCATAGTTACTCCCGCCGTTTACCCGCCCTTGCTTGAATTTCTTCACTTTGACATTCAGAGCAATGGGCAGAAATGCAAAAATAAAACAACATCAGAGCCGTATTAATAAAAAGAAGGATATGCTCAAAAGGAAAAGGTATGAAGCAAAAGCATTTGCTTCTAGTAAAAGGTAAAAGTAAAAGCATATCCTTCAAACCGTATTAATAATGATTACCTTTTACTTCCGAGCAAATCCTTCTGCTCGGAAGTAAATGGTTCTTTAGGAACATCACATGTTACACGTCTGATCCTGTCTATTTTTGTCTACTGATATCCCTCGAAGGCTTAACTGTGCCAACTCCGTGTAATGGTTTTGCATCTGGCTTTAAATTTAATCATAACAAACTAAATTATAAAATCTAGAGTGTGTGGGCCGGAATTTTACCCCGGATTTTACCCCTAGAATCTTGACCCCTTTCTAGACATAGAATTTGGTTGATGATAATAGTTAGTCGGGTACATAATAAATTTGTTTACAGAAATCATCATATATGCTTTGTGATTAGTTTTGTAAATATTTACAAACACAACATAAACAAATGAATACTAAACATATGTTATTTGTCACTTTGTAGATAGCATGCAGTACTGTATAACCACAGAAACCCTCGCCGCAGCTGCAGACTAAATAAATTTCCTTTTCTGGCTGGATTTCTTTGAAAATATTCCCTGAAAATTGTCAGATTTAATTCCTATTTAAATAATATTAATTTTAATGAGTACCTAGGTTTGCTGATTCAAATAAGGTGTTGAGGTGTGTTTTTTATTGAAATGTTGATAGCTTTGTAGGAGGTAAACAAAATACTCCCGCCACAGCAAACCTGCAGACTAAGTAAATTTCCATTTGCCTGATTGGATGTACTCTAAAATGTATCCAATATCACATCCATTCCCTGTTTAAATAGCTTTAGTTTAACTGAGTACTTAGGTTTACTGCTACAGGGAGGGTAAAAAGGTTTTTTTTATAAAATGTAATAGTTTAGTATGATAGAATGCAAATTTGATCAAAAAATGCTCATAAACAAGAAAACTACAACAGTTTAAAAATGTCTCCATAAAAATAACATGGACATTTTAAATTTACATTTTTTTTGTTTTCTCCGTAGCCATTAGGCGCATAATATCGCTTTGATATACTAAATTAATAGTTTTTTTAAACTCTACAAAATGGCGTGGAAAGAAGTTGCTAAAATCTATGTTTTTAGGGTAAAAAATGTTAAAATCCAATTACCCTATAAAACCACTCATAAACCATCGTTTCCATATCCTATTATGTTGATTCGCGAATCCCTTAGAATAAACGTAGGTTCACACGTTTGCACCAAATTTAATCAAAATCGGATCACCTTTGCTCGAGTTATCGTGCTAACGGGCAAACATGTATATGAATTTGAACGGAGGAGGTTTTTGGCCTCTGGGGACCTGAAAACGGAAAAGTAAATGGGTCATGGGTCTAGGTCTTACCATGAGACCTACGGAATAGCTTTTGCCCTTTTTAGGAAATTCGCTAAAATTTAGCACCACACTAAAACCACCACACACCTTTTACTTAAACGTATAATCTGCTACTGATCAGATGCATCATTTTTGAAGGATTTACTTCAAAGAAAAAGTAAATGGTGAGTTTTATTAATAACCATTTACTCAAGTCATGAGCAAAACCTCAAATTTCTATAGATTACCTTTTACTTCTAAAGCAAAAGGTTTTGCTTTAGTTTTTATTAATACAGATTGAAGGATTTGCTCGAATTTTCGCAAGTAAAAGGTTTACCTCATCTTTATTAATACGGCTCATATGTATTTCATCAAATATTTAATGCCACACTCAAGTTTCAAGCTGAGGCTTGCTTTAATTTAGGAATTAGGTCTATTTTATTTTACATTCTAACTGGCCATTTGATTAAGGCTATCCGATAACTAATTTAATTCGTTTATTGAGTGAAAGTCTAACATACATACAAAGTCTAATATACATGTTAATTAAGAAGGTACGGGTCATTGTGAAAAAAATGCAAATTTCCAGTAAAAAAGGAACTATATTCTAGAATATCGAGATTATAGTATGATCGATGCACAGGCATGTATCTCTTGCATTATGATTAGGCTTTACAACCCAAAAAGGTCTAAACATACAAAATGTTCCATACAAAATATTATGGTGTTGTTTTACACACCCAACATAGAGTTTGTTTAAGGTGTCATTCAAGAGTATTTTCGTTTTTTTTCTTACGCCTCGTCACAGTTTCTTTTTTCCTTGATGTTAATCTGCTACTGCTATCTTTATCAAACAATTTATTTATCGAGCTTGAAGGTTTTCTACGTTTCAACTTTTTCTCTCTTCAACACACTTCTCACACTTCAAGGTCAAACATTGGCTCCATAATAATTTTTTTGTACAGTCAACTGTTTTATAGTGTGTCTTCGGTTAAGTAAAGCAACTATGTACTAAAAAATCACATAAACGCTTTTTTATGTAACATTGAAGATAATAATTATATTATAGTTAGCTCATATAATCGGAACAAGAGAACTTAATCAAGAAACGTCAACTTTTATTACAGAAGGAATATAAGGTTATGTTTGTCTAAAACTGGCTGACACGACATCAGTTGATTTCAATGCTGCCAACTTGCTAAAACTGGCACAAGAATATTTAAAAATTACACTAAAAAAGTTGCAATACTACATTGAATATAAAAATGTAGTTATTTAGTTTTTTTTTTATAATTTTTATGTGTTAATAATCTGTCCATCCTCTGTAGACATGATTATTTTATGGTTATACTATTATAATCATAATAGTGAAGGTATCTGAAGTAAGGTTGTATGTCAACTCGGAGATGTGGTCGGTGACAGAGAGGTTTAGTAAACATCCTGCTCAGTTCAATTTCATGGTGGATTGGTCCTATAGACTGTTGTTGACATGAGCCAATCTGAATATCTGATTTCGTCCATCCCAACTTTTATTTACTCAACCTATTCAAAACAATACCGATTTACAGCATATACTTAATTTGTGACAAATTATAAAATAACAAAATAATGTAAATTGAACAATAGTGTTTTCTTCGGTGTAATAATTTATAATACTTCGGAAATTTTACTTGAATGTATACTACCATTTAAAATCAAACTTTGTTGATTCAGTCATTACCAAAGTGGGTTATAATGGTAAAATGTGCCCATTGAGTAAGGCAGTTTATACATAATGAACTCTCTTATGCAGGCTTAAGTAAAGAACTTTATAACTGGAACGCCCTGTTCTTTAAAGGCAAATTTGTGCTTAACAATTGCACATACCCACCAAATTTAAACCAATACTTATACAACAAACAGTCTGTTTTTACAGATAAGTTTATGTTTTACAAACCATTTATTGTCTTATATTATTAAAAGTTTTAATGTTTGTAAACAAAATTAACGAAGTAACGTAGCTATTCCTGAAATTTTAAAATTGTATTGAAGTAGGAACAATTGAAATATTCTTACTTAATTTCATGTAAATTATATAATCAGTTTATTAAATGTAATAGATATTTCGTTTTTGCTAGTACAGATACCACTAAAAAAACCTTTGTTGGAACAAAACTGCAATCTAAAATTGAAAAAATATCAATCTGGAATAAAATATTATAAACTATTAACAACATTATGGAAATAATGGCTACAAAAAACAACTTATGAACCATTAAGTCCCGCAATGATTAAATTCAAACAACTTTCGCCAGGATATACGAAAACATCTAAAAGAAGGAACAAGGTGAGTAAGTGAACTAGAGGTTAAGTGGCAGTAATACGAAGTATGGTTCAGTCATTTAGTCCAGGGACCATTACTTGCCCCGAAAACTAATGTGATACGGTAACTATTCAGATAGCAAAGCCTGTTCCTTATAATTTAATCTAAGTTTAACTTTCAAGGATGCAAGCATTAATTAAACATAAGTATTACACCCATAAAGTATAATTTAGGGTTTAGGGCTTATTCAATGTTCTGACTCGTATAACCTGGATCTACCCTTAAAACATGCCTTTTTTAGATATCTTATCCAGTATGTAAGGTTTCCTGAGCTGTGTGGGTAGTTCGTCACTCTGTATTATAGCACGTTGCTCAGCCTTCTCGACTCCTCATGGCTGGGAGGATAGTAGACAACGGCTCCAGGTTGATAATTATCTTGGTCAGGTGGATCAGGGGCAGCCATTATTCGGCGCACGTCATTGATTGAGTAACGGTTTTGTTTCCCTACCTCAAATGGATTTACTATCTGCCTGGCATTATCAAATCAAGGAATCATGTCCTCAGGCAGAGGTTCGAGCCAATCATTGGCTTCAAGGTCATCGGGATCGCGGTTTCTAATGTATTCTTGGGGAAAGTGATACACAGTGTTTTCCCACCTCCGTTGGGGTCTCTCTGGTGTGCCCTCACCACCATAAGGTTGTTGGCCAGCAAGAAAGCCGTCCCACATCTGTTCCTGCACGGAATCAGTGCTGAAGAAAAATTCGCACTCATCAGGATTATACAGCCTAATGCTGTAGCTGAGACCGTTACTCAGTTTCAGTTCGTTACGCATCTCGTAAACGGTGCGGTCCGTGCGGAAGATAGGGGGATACATTGGATCGTTTATTGGATCGTCCTCATGTTCGGCTCTGTAGATTTGGGGTTGCTGGTGTGGAGGGGGGGGGATTGTCACCTGGCTGACTATCCCTGTCTGCTTGGGAATCGGAAAGGACATCGTCTTCTGCAGCACTGTTTGATCTGATTACAGACATTGCGTTTTCTAAGGTTTGTTCAAAATTTCTACGCAAGTCCTCTGATAGGCCGGGATTCTGTTGGGGCATCGGCGTAGAGGTGGCGCTAGTCGTGGTGATTTCAACTTCACCGCCAATGGAGAGGTCAACTCTATCCACACGCGCGCTAGCTACATCGGAAGAAGCTTCGACTGCAGCTGTCCTACTACGTGTTAATCTTTTGAAAAAGTTCTGTTCTTCCTCAATTTCCTCCGCGCTTGGAGCTAGTTTCCTCCGGGATGACCGCGGGTACTTTGTGTTGCTCCTATTTTGTTTGGACATCTGTCCCACTAAGTGAAAAGAAATAGAAAAATTTAAGTTGTAAACAACAAAAACGACATTTGATTAATTTGAGGTAAATATTTCTGGTATCCACTTGGACATTCAAATATTGCCTGCAAATCTTAAAGAAGTGACGTTTTACTGTTATACATTATTTACTGTATAACCTAAACCTAAACCTGCTATTTCTCTACTGGGCACCAAATGGCCCCTCTTTTCCAGGAAAAAAAAACAACTGCACAACTCACAAACACTCGGAGCCTTGACCGTGCTTTTTGGTGCTTTTTGGCAGTTGTGTTGCCAAAGTGTCAGTTTTCCTTTCAGTTTATCCTTCCTAAATGATTAAATGGTTTAAAGTAATTGAGATTGATATACTTAAACTTTTTAATATGTACTGTAGACTTATTTAATTGTTCTGGTACATGTTACGCTATATACTGTGTGTTCATTTGAAAACCTTCCATATCTGAACTTAATCGTTCTCATTTCCCCCTAATTTGGACATGCCGAATCCAATACAATTATTTTCAATTTTGAAAATCAATTGATAATCAATTCGCCATTTTGGTATACTATGTAAATAACGACAGGCCCACGTCGTATTTTCTAACCAGTGGTGAAATCTTGAGATTTTTACTAACATTCTTCGTATAGCTTTCTCGGAGTTCAAAACAACCCACGTTTATAATCTCACAAAGAGAAGAGCACTTAAATCCTGTTAAATAACCATATTTAAGTTCATTATTCTACCTCTAAACCACATTGATTGCATTCTGATAAATGACTTCCGGTTTGTAGGCCACTGTCCAACGATGGATTTTCTTCTCCCTAACTCCTTTGAATTATTTTTTTAAGGCAGAGCTTTGAAGGTGTGACTACTTCGTTCATATTTTCAATAGCCACTGCAAAATTTACCTGTGTTTATAAATTTGTAATCTTTCTCAAGAATGTAAATGCTTCTTTTTAGGAATGGATGAATTACTCCATCTTATCCATCTTGAATATCCATACTTCAATCCATACTTAACTTGAATATCCATACTTACTTTAATCCATACTTGAATTAATCCATCTTATCCATGCTTGCTCTCGATGAAAACTACAGATCTGTATATGTAGGCCAGTGTTTGCGACCTTAAATTTACAATATTGCCGAAATAGACAAAGAGAAATTGACAATCGAATTAAACCCATTCGTTTTTGGACCAATCTTGTTTGGAAGTGATCGTAGGAGATCATCAGACTATTGCCGCGAATACGGAATATAGTTACAATAAACTAAACTCACTAACTTGTAAACGTATGAAACGTAAATTTATACTCTTAGCTTTTTAAAGAAGTCAGCCATAGGAAAACAAGAAGGAGAATATTCAAGAAGACAAATTAAAAAACATGATAAGTTTAACAACTTGTTTTGTTGCTTAAGTTGTGCACTCCTAAATTACATGTCCACAACTGACGGGAATAATATACCTTACTGCAGGTTAACATAGGTGTTGGCAAAATCTTTTGCAAGTCAAAAGCAGTAGCTACTCAGCTTGAATCAGTTTTAGCAGCTTCTGCTGACTTTTTCTAAGCTTCTAAACTCACTAACTTGTAAACGTATGAAACGTAAATTTATACTCTTAGCTTTTTAAAGAAGTCAGCCATAGGAAAACAAGAAGGAGAATATTCAAGAAGACAAATTAAAAAACATGATAAGTTTAACAACTTGTTTTGTTGCTTAAGTTGTGCACTCCTAAATTACATGTCCACAACTGACGGGAATAATATACCTTACTGCAGGTTAACATAGGTGTTGGCAAAATCTTTTGCAAGTCAAAAGCAGTAGCTACTCAGCTTGAATCAGTTTTAGCAGCTTCTGCTGACTTTTTCTAAGCTTCTGGCAGCTTCGGCCTTTCTTAAATGAAGCTCATTTAAAACCATAGCTTGGTTTTTTAATGGTTCATCGTTACTATTTTTTATGGTTACATTTAATTTGTCACATGTGCAAGTGTCTGTATAAGGCTTATGGAAACTTATGTTAAACTCAGTATTGGTTACTTTCCTGTAATAATGGAGTTTAACTGGAACTTTTTATTCCTCCGTACGTTTAGCACGATATAATTCATACGTTTTGTTTACATCTAAAGAAGAGTCCAAGTATTTACGATTTGGGAAAAGACTTGATATCCTAGGCGCATATAGTCCTAGGCGCATTAAAATGTACTTCCCAACGTTAGGTGAATCCTCGCTTACTAAAAACTTACTGAAAATCTTTGATACTAAAAAATGTCCTACTGAAAACTAACCTATTTACAAGATTAAACTTTAATTGCCATGACTTTAGTGGCATTAAATAAGCTTTAGCAGTTTCTTTCCAGTTGTAAACTAAGTAGTTTTCACCTTAATACATACTTTACCGTAATGAACGAATATTTCTATGTATGTTTTTGGATCTGTGATGGGTTGGATTTTTCATAGAGCCTTTCAATCCGGCCAAACATCCTGTCTGGAGGTAGGAATGATCTAGATAGCAGAACAAGTTTTATGAAAGTTCATCAAACAATTTTAGTGGCAAATTCAAATTAACATGTTTGCAAAAATCATGCATTGCAAACATTGTCATGTGCAACATGTCTGTTGACAGTATAAAATGTTTTCCTATATCAGATTTCCTGAATAGTTACACTAGATTTTTTAAGCAAATCTTTAGTGGCAAATTCAAATTAACATGTTTGCAAAAATCATGCATTGCAAACATTGTCATGTGCAACATATTTGTTGACAGTATAAAATGTTTTCCTATATCAGATTTCCTGAATAGTTACACTAGATTTTTTATGCAAATCTTCAAGGAATACTTGCCAAAAACTTGTAGGGGAATGTCTTTCTCAAGTTGGCAAAGAATACTTGTCAACAATTTACAGGTAATCTTTGCAGATCACTTGCTGCAAATATTCTGTAAATGTCTTTTTCAAATGTATTTTATTTTATTTTATTTCCGACGGTTTCACCATTTTACAATAGAAAAACTGCTAAACAATACACTATAGCAAGAATTACAAATAACATACAATAATTTAGCAATAAATTAAAAAAAAATAAACATTAAATATTAACAACTATAATCTATCTTAGATATGTTGCTCTTTGGTATATGCATTTTTTTTTTGTGGTATATATTTCATAATAATAATCTGTAATGGGAATAACTACAATAAATACAAAGTAAATTATATTTGCCTCGGATAAACCCACAGAGGGGGTTTGACCCTTTAGTAACACTAAAATTTGCCTGGTGGCAAGGAAATATCTCAGGTGAAAATATTGCCCACATCTAGTAATTATAGTCGATAATTATTACATTAACTTAACAACTGCGGCAATACATACAAAGGAAGGTGTTTTTAACGATACTCAATCACAAGGGTTTACATTTTGTCGAAACGTGCTTCTTTCTCGCCCCAAATCTACACGTACGCATTTCACACCTCATGGGCGAATCTTAGCACTTTGGTGCATGTAATACGATATCTCAAGTAAACATATACGTAATTTCAGCTCGAAAACACCTATTAAAACGGTTTTGTTAAGACAGTTATTCTCAAAACTACAATCCTTGAAATTAAATAGTAACTAATAATACTAAGGTTTTCAAGCGGATACAACAATGCCGACAGAAAAATTAAAATACTCATAAATAAATACCTACTATCAATACAAGTGCAACAAGTTCATAAACCAATAATGAGTTTCTAATAAGTTATCATCATGCTCCAATTAATAATTAGTCTATAGACATAAAAAAAGTATTTGGCCTTGGGTCATTCCATATGAAATCAACCAATGGTTTGGAACTTGAAATCACAGAATTCAATGATTTTTTTTATAAGTTATACTATTAGAGAATATGAAAAATACCAAGTTTTAGATTTTTTTGACTTTTCTGAGTTATAAATTTTTGAAAATCTAAAAATCGACCGATTTTTGACGCGTTTGGAAATCTTTAAATACCTCTACCTACAAAACCATTCAACTTAGAGAGTTCAAACTTTCACCATTCTCTTTAGAATTTCAAGAGCTACAATTTGATATGTCACTTAACTATGTTAGCTTAGTAATAAAAATTTTCAAAAATCCCAAAAAAGTTTTTTTGAAAATTTTTAAAATTGAAATGTTTAATTTTTTGGGGGTAAAAATATGTTTTTTGTACTTCTTATTAGAGTGCATGTGCCAAATTTCATTATGGTACTCCAATGGGATCATATTTAAAAAATACTACTGTGTAGTTAAACGTGTAAAATGAACACCTAAAAAGTGTTTATTGACTATAGATGCATGACGTAACATTGTACCTACTGTAGCAAAGAAACATTTATTGTGAAAATACATAATTATAAAGAAAGATCTATATTACAGTGCAGTAAAATAAAATTTAATGCCAATAAAATAATAACTACATTGAATACATTTTACCAATCAGTAGGATATAAGCCTATGCCTGCCATTGTATTTTGTAGCAAATGGTTTATTAAAGTCATTGATATTCTGTAGCCGGGGGCCGTTTATGGGGCGTGGTGATGGGGGTTAATGGTATGGTATGGAGGAGGGAATTCGGGTAATCAGGAGGAAATAAACAGGGTAATGCAATAGGTTAGGAGTAGGTGTGTCTGGACCATACTTAATTTAAGCGTGCTGAATCTGCTACCAATAAAATTAGGAAGATTGCTGGGGACCAGAGGGACGGAGACCTTTTACCCAGAACACTTGCCTAGCCAGCTTTGATTGCACTAAATGAACTAACTATTTAAATATTGACCTATCCTTCCAACTATGAACTGAACTTGGATAATTTCTTACTAATATTGATGAGTTAGGGAAATAATATGTAAATTGAATACTGAATGGCCAATATGTATGAATTTGACTGATAATTGCTAAGCTACATTCTGGAGACATGTGATTGAATTAACAGGTTTGAGAAGGTTCGCTGCCTTAAGGGCAGCGAACCCGGTTAAGATTTTATTTCCTACATTTCACTAGTCGGGCGAGCCAGAAGGGCTCCCGCCTTGTTTCCTGAACTTAGCCAGACATTACTTCTATTATTAGTACTAAACAATTATGGTGAAAGACTTATCCATAACATGAGAGCCCCGGTCGGCGAATTTCAGCTTCCTTTTAGCGAATTTCACTATAGGGAAGTAGCTATTACCGTAGGTGGCACGGTAAGACCTAGACCCGGGACCGATTTACTTTTTCATTTTGATGTCCCCAGAGGCCAAAAACACCATTCGTTAAAATTTTTATATATGTATATATATATATATATATAGATTTATATATATATATATAATTTGAGTCCATAAAAAGACGTAAAAGTAACAAAATACACCATAATCCGACGCAATGTGCAAACAAAAATCAAATTGTTTTCATAAAGTGTATCGTAGGCCTACATAATCACACAAATATTAGAATGTTTAACTTGTAACGCTTAATTACGTCAGCAGATCTTAACAAGGTGTCATAAAATATATTCAGTAATATTATTGCATAGAATGCGTCTATATTTTCTTTAAAATATATATAACTTATCCAAAATGCGTAAAAAATAAGACAGCAAACTAGGTGATTAGACCTGGACCAATCATTACTTGACTGACTTATAACACTTTTAGGTTTACTGTTTGGAAATATTCAAATTATGATTTCGAAGTCAACCCTGTTATTGTAGCTATCTGTGAACTGAAATAGGAGAACGATTCGTTTTTAAAGAGTCTTTTCAGAGCCTAGTTCAGCTAATCTCTCCCTCCCCCACGGTCGAACCCCTATTTGTCCCTAACTTTCCGTGTCCCTATCTGTTCTTGTCTCCATCTTTTCAAAACACGTACCGGTACCGAGGCCTTAAATAACAACAACATCTGCTTAGTGATGCAGGAGTGTTAGGGGTTAATACATTGTCTTTTAAAACGGCATCAATGAGTTAAATATGTGAAGAAGTAAAGGTTAGGTTTTTTCAAGCATTCAAGATTAAGTGGAAACATCTCAATAGTACTAGAGTCGGTAAGCAAAATTACAAAATATTTATAAAATTTTAATCTTTGAATCGAAACGTATCAAGTCAGCAATCAAATTAATGTAAAATTTACTAGAAGATTTTGTGTTTTTGATACGGCAGACAAATTCATCAAATAATTTGTATAACAATAAATTTAAGAGATATTTTGTATAGGCTACTCCTGAAATACTTTCATAGAAATTGTATAGATACTGAAATGCTTGTATTAACACACTGATTGCAAAGTAGTAGTACACATACAAAATAAAATATTTAAATTTTGTGTTATTTAAACAAATTCAGTTTAAATTCGTTTGCTTAAAATATAATCTATTATGTTTTACTTCTGTACTTTTGAGTTTAAAAAATATGCATACACATAGGGTCCAGATATTATTGTAGATGTAAAATAACAGCTTACCTTGGCGCAGAAAGGGCAGTTAAATGTATTCACGTATGTGTGAACATATTTTGTGTGTCTTCTAAGTGTAAATCCATTGACAAAATTAACGTTACACTTGTCACAATAAAACTTGCCGTTTCTTACTTCCTAAGCCTTTTTTTTTCGGCAAGTTTCGGCCATGTGTTTTTTTTTTCAGGTACGCTCTGTTGCACATTGTTTTTCCACAGTCTGGGCATTGTGGTTTTGGCTACAATTAAACATAACAAAACATATTAAAAATTCAATGTCATCCTTGTTGATATTGAGAAAAGAGAACATGCTTGGAAAGAGAAATGTAGCCGTAATTTTTTTTCTTTAGCTCCTTGTAATACTTTAAAATAAAAAAAAAACATAAATTGCATCTGTATACCAGGTGCTATAGTTCCAAAGAAGAACAACTCACTTATCAAATGGTTGATCGTTTCGATTTGGTAATATTTTTAGCAATATAACCAAGTGTTGTATTATTTTTAACTGTCTATTGAGGTTAATATCTGTCACATCAGGTGAAGGTGCTGCAGTTAACGCTTCACCAATCAAGAAATGCCCTGGAGTGAGAACATTATTTTCATTTGGATCAGGTGATTGATTCCACTTCCCGCGCTGTTGGAGATTATGTAAATATTTCGAGCTCCATCTCCGCCAAAAATGTTGAGTTGCTTGTTTGACAAGTTGCCATCTAGTCAACCTATTGAGGTTAATATCTGTCACATCAGGTGAAGGTGCTGCAGTTAACGCTTCACCAATCAAGAATTGCCCTGGAGTGAGAACATTATTTTCATTTGGATCAGGTGATAGTGGGGAAAGAGGACTCGAGTTCATCACTGCCTCTACTTCAGCAAACAAGGTAGAAAGTTCTTCGAACGTGAAGATTTGGATGCCTATCACTCGTCTGAGATGATATTTTGCCGACTTTACCGCAGCCTCCCAGATTCCTCCAAAGTGTGGAGCCGAAGGAGGATTAAAGTGCCATTGTACTCCTTTATCAGTCAAACTCTTTTGAATAACCTCTGAAGCAGTTGATTTAGATAGAAGCTTGTGCATTTCGGTAAGGTCTTTAGCGGCAGCAACAAAGTTAGTAGGGGAATGTGTTGTACCTCGGGACAGTTTGTGAACAAATATTTTTAGTTTTTTTTTTAGAAGGTTTATGTTAGTTTTTTACATACCACATCGAAGCCCAGCTTTTAGGCTACACACTAACATCCAAACATAACAAATATATTGTCTAATAAGGTAGTAAAAAGTTATTTTGTAAACCTTTGCACTGTATCCCAAGGTACAACACCAGGTTGTACCTTGGGATTTAGGGTGTTGTACCTTGGGATGTAGAATTGTTGTACCTTGGGACTAAGTGAAAGGTTAGCAAAAACTTCAGTTTAGCAAATAAAACTTGTTTAATTCACACAAAAAGTATAAAAATGAGAACAAAAACCCAAAACAGATTCATTTAACCACAATATTAGTCCATAGGCATTTCGTATGCATTGAAATCAACAGGAAACTTTATTACTTGCTTCAGTCGCTCAGAGGTTCCTGATGTTAAAGGCGGAGGTACTTTACAGATAATATCTTTCTCGTCAATTTCATAGGGAGTTTCATATCTTAATATGAAAGTCTTCGCTCCTGTTTTAACAAGGTATTGAATTTCATATACAATGTCAGTTTTCTTTAAGACTTTTGCAACATAGTACAAAATTCTCTTCTTACCGGCAATCTTTACCAAAATATAATCGTTTGGTTTTATTTCAGCACACTCAATAGTTGTCTCAAGTTCTAATTCCATTTCTTCATCCAAAACTCCTTGAATTAGTTGTTGCATAGATGCATCACTATCCTCATCACAAGATGGAAATCTAATGTGCTCATGCTCATCGTCTGAACTAGTGTCGTATTTAGTTTTGCCTTTCAATTTCTTTCTGGGATTATTTACGTTTGTCTTGTTACCAGGAAACAATTTCTTGTTAACAACGGATTTCCTTTTCTCCTTTATTCTTTTTTGCTCTTCAATTATCATCTTTTCGGGAGTATCAGTCAATATTCTGGTTTTTCCTGGCTGCCTACCTCTTGCAGTTTTCTTTCTGTCCGCAGCTTTAGGAAATGGGTTTACCATTTCTGGAGTCACAATTCTATTTGGTTGTTGTGCAGACGTTGAAGGCATCAGTACTTTAGGCCTACATGTAGATGAAGACGGCTTGGCTAAATTTTCCTGTGTGGTGAGAGTTGATGAATCTGATCCAATTTCACCTGTTGGATGTTGACCGTCTGTAGTTTCTGTATTTGTCTGCTCACGGTCTGTTACATAGGAAGAAAGGAACTCATCTTCTGTAAAAATATTTCTGTTGAATGGATGGATTCCTGTAACTTCAAATCCCTTTTCTATGTTTTCTTTGGTAAATGCTTTGTTGAAAGCACTCCCTACCAATCCAGCTACATCATAGATTTGGATGGGCTTTCCAGGATTGGATAGCATCCAACCATTCATTGCGCTATTGTAGTAGCCTTTGTACGGCCCAAACACCGTCCGATCTAACGGCTGCAGCTTGTGGGAGGTGTGGGGCGGGAACGTTAACATAACCACACCATTTTCCTTACATAAATCCAAAGATTGTATGGAGATATGGCTCTCATGGTTATCCAGTATAAGTTGGACTGGCTTCTCTTTTGTAGGCTTTGCCCAATAAAATGCTTTAAGTATTCGAAAAATAAGTCTTCGTTTGACCACCCACTTGGATTGGCACCTCCAATTGCAGCATTTGGAGCTCCAATGATCATGTGTTGTTTGAAGTTAACACGAGGGAAAATCAGCATGGGAGGTATAGTGTTACCAATAGCATTGACACATGCAATCATAGTTATGTTAAGTCCTCTTTCCCCCGACGTGACAGAACCAACTTGTTTCATCCCTTTTGTACATAGAATTTTGGGAGGTGCATGTACCGTTGAGTCACCGGTTTCATCTAAATTATATATTTCGTTAGGTTGAAACTTGTGCCTTTCCAGGACAACTTCTAAGTTGTCAAAAAACGATTTAACATTTTCTTTGTTGAAACTAGTTGCCCTAGCAAGACTGGTAGCCTCAGGTTTGCGCAAACTAAGGCTAGGGTGCCGTTTTCTGAAGCCACGCAACCAAAAGTCCCCCGCAGATTCAGCTTTCACCCATTCTTTAGGAATATTAGTTTTGCTATCAGGCTCTTCTGACAGGGCTTTAGCATAATTAAAAGCTAATTTTAGTGTATTTTTCTTTGTTAGCCCATAATGTAGCGCAGCAGATCGTTTCAGGTAAGTAACCAACCTTAGTTCTTCATCATTAGTGAAAACCTTTTTTACGGAATTCTTTTCAGTGTCGTACTTAAAAAGAGGAGGTTGTTCTTCATTTAATTCTAATCCAAGATATGCTTTGTAATGCCTACTTACAGTTGAGTTGTGTAACGCACTAGACCCTTAACCTAACCTAACCAGGTTCGGCCCAAGGCTGCCCAACCGTCATAAGCAGTCACAAAGCTCCGGAGGTAATTAAACAACACAGAAATTGCAAAATACCATTTAATCTCAGTCAAAATATATATATATGAGTACAATTACAAATCATTACAAGTTACAACTAGCCTACTCAATATTTGTTGGTAAAAAATTAATAAATTCAATTACCTACATAAAAATTACAGAATAATATTAAAAGGTTAGGCCTACAAAATAGGTGAAAAGTTCACCTTAAACAGTTGAACGATTGACGATCGAGCGTAAGTCGTGACATGATGAATTACAAAGTCAAAACGACAAGATTTCAAATAAAATTTTTAAGATTAATATCAGAACCTAACTTAGGCACTAGGGGCAAATTTAGAATGAAAGGCCGAATAAGTAAATTTAGAGACAAAGAAAAACCAATTGTGCCCACTAGGCCGGTCAAGAAAACTGAAATAAATTCTAACTAGGCTAGGCCGAGTATCAAAAATAATTACACTAAGTTTAAATTACAAAAAACTGCTGACACATTAAAGAATTAATTGAAAGGTGTTAAAAAAAGCAGACATTGGATTATTGTGACAATTGAGGCTGGACCGAGGATGTCCCACACACTATTTAACAGTTTGACGACTAGAACGGAACGTATCAAAATGGAGTTGAAAATTTTTATTTGGCTAGTAACTGAGTCTGTAATAGGCCAGAGTAATAATGGAGCAACACCACCTGGCATAACTGTAGGATGGTCACAGTAGGTAGGCTTCCATCGATGACAACCTGCGATGTGGCGCAGCATGGATCACCAATAGGATAGACAGCCCAAACTCCGGCAGCAGAGTCCAAACTCCGGCAGCAGTAGCTTCTTACATGGTCAGCAGGATGTGTGTGTGTGTGGTCCTCGGTCCTCTCTTCATGGCCTCGTCACAGGTCTCAAATCAGGCTGGTGTCAGTCATAGCCGGGAGCCCTTTCGACATAATTCACAGCCAATAATATCTTGTAAAACACAGGCCTACTTCAATTACAGGTTAAGGTAGCACCCTTGATTGAAAATCTGTACTAGGCCTAGGCCATAGTTTGACTCTTGAAGAATATAAACTTCTACTAGTTAGGCTAGTTTTAAACAAATTTCAGTCTTACTGGTAACAAGGCTTAGATAGGGTGAAGCCCTAGCCTACATCGTAAAACTAACATAAGACAGTACCACTTGCAGTCGTTACCAAAAAATTACTTTTACAACAAAATGACCCTACATATATAAGATAATACACTTAAACAAAGAAATTACACTTGAACAAAGAATCTACACTTGGACAAAGAATAGGCCTAGCCTATAATAAATTTCACATTTCTCTAAACCTAGGTTCGATTCAGGTGAGAGACCGTACAGTCCCAAGTCTCAGATCCAAGGACCTAAATAAATCGCTGAAAGTTTACTTGACTCAGAACAAAGCAATTACTCACAATAAAATACTTAAACAAACTTACCACAAGTGAAAATAAAACTTTAACATTGTGGCCACACGTGGTAATCCTGCCAGTGTGTGGAGCAACAGAAAAAACTAACTCAATTGATTAATTAACGATGAAAATCACTTACCCAACATAATCAAAATTTACGAAGACATACTAGTAGCTCGCCCCTTTGATGAACTTGAAGACAACATATTAACTGAAACTGGCATTGGCATTGCCACAGATCAAAATCCTCAATACGAAGAAACCAAAAGTGGCGAGAGTCAACGTAACCCAAGAAGAAGACTGGCCGTAGCCGACAACCCAAACGGCCCCACAAAACCGGAAATTGACGAGAAAACTGGAACGTTGGAACGTTGCGAGAACCTTCTAGAAGCTCAACGGCCTACGAATGAAACAAGCGGACACTTCCGCCTAAAAAAAAAACTTATATGTAATAGAAGACCTGAGCCGTCAACTCGCACGGCTCAGTTGCTTAACCCATATCTTCGAGCAGCCTCATTCACCTTAAGAGTTCCCTTAAGTACATCATTTACAGCGCTCTCCAACGCTCGAGGGTCTACCTTCTCGCGGGTCTTCCCCTCCTTGCTGCGAGGCATTGATCTAGAAACAAAACACAAAAATTAGCCTGTTTATAAAGCAATTTATATTCAATCTATATTCACTGGTAATAAAATAAATATGTGAGCAAAAAATACAGCAATCCCAACTTTTTAAATAACTTATTTTTTCATATGTGTTGTACCTTGGGATGTCCCAAGGTACAACACATTGCATAACAGGAAAACATGGCCGATAAACATGTTTTAGGTTAGTCTAAAAGATTCATCAACCATGCCATTGGAAAGAGGACGTTTTACAGTCCAACTCAAAGTCATAATTATTAACACAGATTAAAGAAACAAAATTAGAAAAAAATACAATGAATCAACATAAATTTACTTACCTAAGGCAGTTTTTCAATTTTTCAATTAGCTTCCACAAATCTCACTGGATAGTTGTCAGTCATTCTACAGTAACCCCTAGTGGCAAGATGAATAACCAACATAGGTTAGTTTGGTGTTTCACCCACATATAGCAGAGCAATGGCGTTTGTCCCGAGGTA